ATTAAATAAATCTCGTTTCGACTGTCCTTCAATTGGAGAAAACTCCCCACGCGCCCCCGCGGGGACGGTAAAAAGGAGGTGCGACAATTGGAATGCATTATCACTGTCTCATTTAGATCCTCAAACAAATCAATGTGAACAAGAGGTTCAAAAAATTATTCATTTACAAAATATTGTAAATCAATTGCCAGATGCATTCACTAACCTACCAAGGGCGACTAAGTCACATATTTCAACTGTTAATGCTCCAATTCGAGTTGATATCCCGACAGGACAATTAATTAAAGCAAATGAGTCTAAGTCATGCTTGAAACGTGGTAGACCAATCGGTTCTAAAGATAAAAATCCTCGAAGAAGAAAAGGAGCAAGTGATCAAAGTGAACATAACACAGAGGTAGTGGCTCGAGAAGAGCCCCAAGACATAACAAATGATAAGACCTTAGGAGAGGTCCAAGTACCTGAAATAATGAAAATGAAGAGATATCAATAACTTATGTCTCAACCGGGAAAAGATGGAACCGAAATAATATTGTTATCGATAACATTTTTGCTTATAATGTTGCTGTTGAAATAATGCAACAAGGTGAGGATCTTGAACCAAAATCTGTCAATGAATGTAGACAGAGAAATGATTGGCCAAAATGGAAAGGCGCTATCCATGTAGAGTTAACTTCACTTGGAAAACGTGAAATCTTCGGACCCATAATTCGAACACCTGAAGGCATAAAACCAGTAGGGTATAAATGGGTTTTTGTGCGAAAACGAAATGGTAAAAATAAAGTCGTTAGATATAAAGCGCGACTTGTGGCACAAGGTTTTTCCCAAAGGCCTGGAATTGATTATATGAAGACATATTCTCCTGTAATGGATGCTATCACCTTCAGGTATCTCATAAATATGGCAGTGCAAGAAAAACTTTATATGCATCTAATGGATATTGTTACAACCTATTTGTATGGATCATTAGACAACGAAATTTTTATGAAAGTACCTGAGGGATTTAATGTGCCAGAAACATATAAAAGTTTTCGAGAAACTTGTTTAATAAAGCTTCAGAAATCTTTATACAGATTGAAACAATCAGGTCGTATGTGATACAATCGCCTGAGTGAATACCTGTTGAAAAAAAAGGTACAAGAATGATCCAATTTGTCCTTGTGTCTTTATAAAAAGGTCTGGATCTGAATTTGTTATAATCGACATATATGTTGATGATTTAAATATCATTGGAACTCTTGGGGAGCTTCCAAAAATAGTAGACTGTTTGAAGAAAGAATTTGAAATGAAAGATCTTAGAAAGACAAAATTTTGTCTTGGTCTACAAATTGAGTATATGAAAGATGGAATATTTGTCCATCAATCAACATACACCGAAAAGATTGTAAAGCGATTCTATATAGATAAAGCACATCCATTGAGTACCCCGATGGTTGTGAGGTCACTTGATATAAAAAAAGATTCATTCCGACCTCATGAAAATGATGAAGAGTTTCTTGGTGCCGAAGTACCATATCTTAGTGCAATTGGGGCATTAATGTATCTTGCCAATAATTCCCGACCAGATATAGCTTTCTCAGTAAGCTTATTGACAAGATTTAGTACTTCGCCAACACAAAGACACTGGAATGGTATTAAACATATATTCAGATACCTCCAAGGGACCATTGATATGGGTTTATTTTATTCAAATGAATCCAAGCCATCATTGATTGGTTATGCAGATGCAGGATATTTGTCTGATCTACACAAAGGTTGATCTCAGATAGGCTATTTATTTACAAGTGGAGGTATAGCCATATCATGGCGTTTGACAAAACAAACTATGGTTGTTACTTCTTCAAATCATGCAGAGATAATAGTCATTCACGAAGCAAGTCGAGAATGCGTTTGGTTAAGATCTATAACTCAACACATTCAGCAAACATGTGGTCTTTCTTCGAAAGAGAATATTCCAACAATATTGTATGAAGACAATGCTGCATGCATAACTCAATTGAAGGGAGGATATATCAAAGGAGATAGAACAAAACACATTTCACCGATTTTTTTTTCACTCATGATCTTCACAAGAATGGTGAAATAGATGTACAACAAGTTCGTTCAAGTGATAATTTGGCTGATATGTTCACTAAGGCGTTACCAACCTCAATATTTGAAAAACTGATATATAAGATTGGAATGCGTCGTCTTTGAGACATTAAGTGATTTTTCATCAGGGGGATTAACTACACGCTGCACTCTTTTCCTTAACCAAGGTTTTGTCCCATTGGATTTTCCTGGTAAGGTTTTTAATGAGGCAACAAACAATGCATATTATAAATAACTATGTACATCCCAATATTTTTTTTTGTAAGTTTTTAATGAGGCACATTATCTTACATGGACATCCAAGGGTGAGTGTTATGAATAGTTTGTACATTGGATACTACTAGGGCTGTGCATTTGGATCGGATATCTGAAATCCGATCCGATCCGCTCAATTTCGGATTTCGGATTTCAGATTTCGGATATTTGGATCAGATTCGGATTTGATTTATTAAAATTTCGGATTTTCGGATTGGATTCAGATTTATATAGTTTGAACCCGATCCGATCCGAAATCCAAATTTATTAAGGGAAGTATAAATACTAATTTTATTGTTAGGGTTAGCCGATTAGGTCTTATTTCATTCTGTTGCTCCTTCACTTCATGCTCACACCTAGAGAGGCAGAGACTGCTGGCTGCTGCTCACTTCACGCCTCAAGGCTCAAGCTGCTCCTGCTCGTCGCTTCCTCTATCTCTTCTCTGTGTTCCGGCGACCGGCGACCGCACTGGTAAGACACTAAGACTCACTCCTCTCTCGTTCTCTCTCTCTCTTTCTCCCCCTTTCTTAGAGAAAGGTGACTTATTTTCTTATCTGTGTGTCTACCTTTTTGGGCTTGTTCATGTTTATTTGCTTTACATTTTACAGTATGAAGGAGTATGAAGAGAAGGTAGTGTCACTGGCACTAAATCGCCCCAAGCTCCAAGATCTCACCAATAGACTCAAGGTTGTTCGTCTGAGTTGCCCTCTGTTTGAATTTGAAACTCTCATGAAGGTAAAAACTCGAGTTTACCCTTTGTCCAAGGTAAAAACTCAGTTACATGACCACACTACCTTTACCTAAAAAGGCCCAATGGTGAAGCAGTTGCGCAATGGTTGGAAAGGAAGGATCATTATTCCCTCTTTGGGTAGTTAGTTTGTATTTTTACGGAGGTGAATGGTTCGTCTTGATTGTACCCTCTTTGAGATTTCAATATATTTTGTTTTGTTATGAAGATTGTGTTTTGTTTATGTAATGAATTCTATCACAAGAATTAGGATTTGCACAACTATGTGGATTAGGATTGATGTTCACAAGAATTAGAACCATGTTGAATTGAACTGTTGTTTATGTTAATTTTGTTCTGTTATGAACTATTGAATCCGATCCGAAAATCCGATCACCAAACCGATCCGAAATTATGCAATCCGATCTAATTCGGATCGGATTCAGATTGCGTTTTGTGAAATCCGAAATCCGAAATTTCAATCCGAAATGTGCTAAATCCGATCCGATCCGATCCATGCACAACCCTAGATACTACATTGGATGCCCATGTTGTGAATAACTTAAAGATTAAATTTTCTACTTTATGTCCATCATCTTTACTTTTTATGCCTATAAAAGGCTATATAATTGCAATGGAAAAATATGAAAGAAGAAAACATTTCTCCCTTCTTTCTATCTATTCTTATTTACATTTTACTGCATTACTTTTATTTTATAACAAAAGGAATGATAATAAGTAATGGAAGGAATATTTAAGGTGGGTGCAAACTGCAAATTTAAGTTGGACACTGTTATTAAAAAAAAATATATAAAAAAATAATAATAAAAAAATATAATGAGGGGTATAATTGGGAATTGAAATAGGCATAAGAATATCTGAGCATGTCTAGGTTTTTTCTTTCTTCCTAAGCTTTACTCAGAACATTCAATTTCGGCCCAATCGATTCTCCGGCGTTAGCAAATCCTCCGTTCGCATTTTCCGGTAAGTTAACGTTTTACTTTTTTACTCTATCGCTGCTTTATTTACTTGTAAAAAATTAACCTTCTCTGTTATTACACGTCGTTGCTCTGCTCTTTACACATTTGCCAATTAAATTTCTCATTTTTGTATTTTTAATTAATAAGCACAAGATAATTTCATTAATGCTAAGTTAAGTAGAGTTGACCTACATCGAAATTTCCTTATAAATTTTTATCATTTTTGCTATTTTAGTTTTTTTTCTTCTTTTTTTATAATTTCGTGGTGAAGTGTTTTATATAATTTAGAATTGATGGTTCATATTACAGAATTTATAGCTGCGAATGAAATTAGTGGTTGTGTATGTTATGGTTATTTTTCCCTTTTTCTTTTTAATGACGGTGGTGTCCAGGCACAACTTGCTTGCATTAGCATTGATACCAAGTAACTATGCCCATTATGTCTTAGATAGATGGAAGAAATTACGTAGTGTTTGTTGACGGTGGTGTCCAGGTGTACCTGTTCGCACCTCGACTATTTCAGTAGGTACCTCCCACTAGCACTAACACCGAGTAACTCTGCACACCAAGTCTTAGATAGATGGAAAGATGTCATCTAGTGTATTTTGCCTTTGCTGGGATGTGAACCTAAGACCTCATGGTTCTCCTCCCACTACATTGACCACTAAGCCATACCCTTGAGTATGTTATGGTTATTTAGGCGGGAATGTTGGGAGATTCATTTTAAATTGACTAGTTATAAGGTGGCTATGGCATCCCTGCTCTTTTATCCGGCCTTGGTATCAACAATGTGAGCTCACGTAGGATGCAATGCTCGCACATGCAGGTTTTTGTTTAGGAGGGAATGGCTAAGANTTCTAAATTAAGAGAAAAATAGGGGTTGCCAAGCTTTCTGGTGGAGTTCTCTTTTACTCATCCACTGTATTTTTTTGTCATTTCTGTTGTCCGTGAGCTATAAATGACTTAGGTCTCACCTGTTGCCAGATATGATGTTTCGCCAGATAGATGTATTTTATTTTAAGGAGAAGATGATAATGATTAAAAAAAACCAATATATGAAGAAAAAACAATCATTCATATGCATTTTATCATTCTTATTCCATTCAACGAACTGGCATCTGAATGCCTGAGGTGTGAAGGCATCTTAACAGGAGTGCAGCAGCTCTCCTGATAGGGATATGAGCAAGAGACACTGATGTGCTTTTTGTTTCTTAACCATTATAAAATAACGCAGAATGTGTTACGCATATACATGGATAGATACAACTGTCGGACAATGAATTCTTTTAAAGTATTTGTTAGAAATTCTCTTTTCTTTTTAAGTTTTGCACTTTCGGAGAAAATTGTTGGAATAGATAATTTGATACATTGCTGGATACACTTCTCAAAGTTGAGAAACAAAAATCTAAAAGCACTACTGTTTCTTACAATTGGATGCATGGTTAATTTATTGAAAGGCATGATGGATTTGTTTTCTTGCATGCAGCTATTTTCGTCCTTTGAAATTGTTCTGATGGATGCATGATCATGAGTCTGTGACTTCTGCATGGTTAATTTACTGAAAGGCATGATGGGTTTGTTTTCTTGCATGCAGCTATTTTCGTCCTTTGAAATTGTTCTGATGGATGCATGATCATGAGTCTCTGACTTCTGCATTACTCAGGTGGTGATTTCCCTTATGTGTCCTAAACGCATATGAGTTGATTGAAAGATTGATAGCTTCTTGCTAGATTAGTATCATGGGATACAATCGGCAAAAAGATAAGAATGGTTACCGTAGTTCATCAAAGGGTAATGGCGATGATGGTACATCAGCTAGGACAAGACCTCTCAGTTTTGATGACATCATGCTTAGAAGGAAAAGTAAGGAAGAGGAACTGGACATTAAGAACAATTTTGTAGGAGCTGAGAGTGTATCGCGTAAAGAGGACAGGCATAAGAGGACTACTGATGGTTTAGAACCTGAGCGAAACCGCTACGATGAGTCATTACCTAGTGCTTCCAGACATACTTCGGAGGATTCTAGGAAGTTAGCATCAAGGCAAACAGAGAATAATATGATGGCTGAAAAATTAGCTAGGGGTAAACATAAAGATAGTAGAGAATCTGAAATCAAATCAAAGACATCAGTGAACAAAGATGTAAGCAATAAGAGACTAGCTGGTAGCAAAACCGACAAAGATTATCTTGTCCGGAGAAGAAAAGATGAGGAATTTGTTGATGATTCTGGAAATGAAACTGGTAAAAGACATTCAAGAGATTTGGCCCGGAAGGAGAGATCGACAGATAAAACTGACAGAAGACGCGATGAGGGAAGAAAAGACAAAGATCCTGATAAGGATGAGAGACAGTCATACAGGAAGAGGAAAGATATGGAAGTGCCAAGTGATGCTCCTCTGGATGAGGCTGAGAAAAGGCATTCAAGAAATTATGGACGGAGAGATAGTGACAAAACTGAAATAAAGTCTGAATCAGGTAGAAGGAAGCACCGAAGTGATGACGAGGAGAGAAACAGAGACAAGAATGCCGATAAAAAACACAGTTCATCGAAAGTTTCTGAAGTTACCGGAAGGGTGGAATCTTCTCGGGCTCAGCTGGAGGAAGAAAGACCAAAGAGAAGGCGGTCAAGAAGTCGAGAGTATGATAAAGATCGAGGTAGAAGGTCTCGTTCTGGGTCACCAAGAGGACTTAAGCATTCATCTCATGATCACAGAGAGCGTGGTGAGTTTTCCTCGCATTCTTCCAAAGATAAATCTGGAAGATCACATTATGATCTGGATAAAAAGATATCCAGCAATGGTTCAGATAGCCACTCCAAGCGCCATGCAGAATCTACAAGTGGGCTTGGGGGCTATTCACCAAGAAAGAGGAAATCAGAGGCTGCTGCTAAAACTCCTCCTCCAACTAACCGCTCTCCAGATCGGAAAAATGCTGGGTGGGATCTACCACCTGCATCAGCTGGAAGTAATGTTACTGGTTCTGTTCCTTCTAGCGTTCAGTCTTCAATGCAATCTGTAATACCAAATATACATCAGCTCTCTAGCGTGGTTCCTGCTAATACATTTACAACAAAGACTGCTGGCGTTTCATATAATTACTTATTTTCATCTATACATGCAACTGATTCGGTCCAGCTGACACAAGCAACACGGCCTATGAGAAGGCTTTATCTAGAAAACTTGCCAAACTCCGCCTCTGAGAAAGATATTCTGGACTGGATTAATCATTCTTTGCTGTCTTCAGGAGTCAATCGCATTCAAGGAACACTACCATGTATCAGCTGTATGGTATGTTTACTTCTTCTGCTCTTGTTCTAAGTAGGATAGAGATTAGTGTTGCTTATTGTTTCTTCACTGCAGATACACAAGGATAAGCGCCAAGCTCTTCTAGAATTTTTAACCCCCGAGGATGCTTCTGCTGCACTTTCTTTTGATGGCAGATCCTTCTGTGGTTCTATTCTTAAAATCAGGCGGCCAAAAGACTTCGTCGAAGTGGCTGTAAGAATATTCCCATGAGATTCTTTATAGATTTGTGCTGGTCTTTTGCACTGGCCTTTTGTTATTTACTTTTTTCTTAGTGATGTGTGCTTATTCTTCATGTTAATGTTCAGTTCTAAAATGGATACACTATACGTTTGTGGTGGGTTGAAACAAATTTATGTTTAGTTAAATGAATCTGATTTTCCTATTCTCTTTCCTTCCTTTCTTTATCATGGGGTATTTGGAGTGATTAGTTGCATGGATTGTGACTTTTGTACGGCGAGGGATGTTAAGTATGATGGTCAATTTGCTGTTCTTGTCCCAGTAATACATACTACTCAAGATCTATTCTTCACCTGCATCAAAGAATAAGTACATAGGCAATAAACAAAATTCTCCGGTAAATGTGTTCTTGCAGGTAAAAAACAAGGTGTCCATCTTTATCATAAAAAAGTCAAGGTCTTCATCTAGTCAAAGAGTAGGACGCATGAAGAGGTTTGACTTGTCCTCAATGCTTGAATGATTGTTCAGTGTGGAAGATAACCTCTGTGAACGGGATACCAATCTCATAGAGTCCCTTAGCATTTGTTAGCAGTAATATAGGCACCAAGATTAGCAGCAACATAGGCACCAAAATTTTGGTATAGCATATGTTTAAGATGTTATTGATATGAAATCCTTCTGATCTTCTCTAATAGTACCCTCAATATCTTTCACCTCCTATATCAGAGCAGGGGAAGCTGCACGTCATTTGATCATCCGTTTAACTGGATATTGGAGGATGATGATGGTGGTTTCCACTGCATAAGTGCAAAAGGGATGATATATAGTTGAGTTATATCAAATGAAGTGAAATAAAGAAATATGGAAATTGTGGTAGGGCAGTTTTGTTAATATGGAACATTGCCTGCATGTTGGATCTGCAGCTTCCTTGTTAGTTACTGGTTATTTTTGTTTTTTCAAGATAGATACTCTCCAACAAACCTCCTGCCTTCTCCCCCCCCCC